TATAATCTATATGGAACTACTTAACTAATAAAACTAGCTATATAGTAAAAAAAAACCAATATATAAATAAAATATAAAATATTTTTTTAAATATTTAAATCCAGCTTTTTATATGCTAGCAACATATTTAATAATCTTTTTCGCAAAAATTTCCAACAGAATTATTAGAATATTAAAAATTTAAACGTCTAGAAATTTCAGTTTTCTTTTAACCGCTTTTCATTTTCTTGTGATTTACTATCATCTTTCTGGATTTTGAAACCTTTTCGTTTCAATGATTTATTTAACGATGCTATTTAAAATCATAAATAATTATAAGTTTTTCAAGTAAGCATTAGGAAATTGCAAACTAAAAGTGACATACCTTGAATGTATTTCTGATCTTCTTCATCATTAAAATGTACATCATTCTGACTAGAAATATCTTCAAAATTATCGTTATTTCCGATAATATCATCTTTATTCGTACGATCATAATTATTTGAGAACTTTTTGAACTTCGACACAAAGAATCCATCCATATTATGTACATGAGGATAGTATCTCCTCGTTAATTTTAATGAAGGGTGAAATATTTTTCCACGATACCTAGTAAGTTTTAATTATTCCAATGTTTCATACTATTCGTGGTAAAAAAGTAAAAAAAAAAAGAATTTTATTAAATACTTTGTAAATCCTTCTTGTCCAAAATCCAAACCAGTTTGTACTAATTTTACGTTAGGTCGTTTTTTAAGCGCATAATTTACTACATCTTCGTTTTCGTCAACAGTTATAGAACATGTGGAATAAACAATATAACCACCCGTAGATGATTTTGCATCAACTGAATCAATCGCTGACAAAATAAGCTCTTTTTGTAAATGAGGTAGCAGTATAAAATCCTTATAAGTCTAAAAGTAGAAAATATTTAGTAAAACAATAAATAAAATAAAATATATTTAATCGCAAAGTCGGTACTTTAACTTCTTACTTTATTTATTTTTACAGAAGGATCCTTAGAAATAACACCAGTACCACTACAAGGGGCGTCCAAAAGAACCCGATCGAACCCTCCCATGACAGTAGGGAACTCACGACCATCATAATTACATACTACAGCGTTCTTAACACCTAACCGGTGTATATTTGACACGAGACTTTTTATTCTCTCTTTATTGGCATCATTTGCAAATATCAAACCAGTGTT